CCGGGGCGGGCGCGGGGGCGAGGCTAAGGCCAGGGCCGGTGGGGCGGCCCGGCGTGGCCACCTTCCTTGCTGCTCGGTGCCCTGGCGCCACCTTGAAACTTGGTTTTCTCGTGCTTTGCCATCGCCTCCCTCCCAGTCATTGTGGGAGAACTTGCTTTTTAGGCATTCGTGAGAAGTTGGTTGGCATTCACTAGTTGCTAGTCTGCTATTCATTTGCCCGGCTGGCAGTTGCCGATTTTGGTCCGTTCAAGCCGCGTACAGACAATTAGATGGCATGTTCCTCTTTTAGTCGTTGCCTGCTTGACAAGGTACTCATGCCAGCGAATTTCAGATTACCATAAATTGGAGCCAAAGTAATTTTCTCTCAGTAATTCATTAAACCATGTATTTAGACCTTTTTTTTCCCCTACAAGATTATAGAAATAAAGCAATTTCACCTTCAGAGGTTTCAGCTTTCTGTGACACAGAGATCTCAATGGAACTTCACATTCAAAATTATAAAGTCCTACATTGATACACTTCAATCTCTTTTGAAAAACTTGCTGGCTGACCTTCTCAGAGTCTTCTCGAGATACTTTCAAGAAACTAACCAGCATCTGACACATGAAAGACAAAGCACTGGCTTATTAAGTAAAACAGATGTCAGCAGATCAGATTTGTGTGTGTTTATATATTTATCTGTTGTTCTCTTAATCAAATAAAGAATGCTGATGGCCATATACTCCTTTATCTTGGGCAATATCCATCTGCATTAGAAATAGAAAGATGCAGTTGATAATCTTTGAGCAGACAAGTGTGCAGACAAGAGGTGACTTAAAGAGGGACATGTCTTCTATGATTGTGATGTTTAGATTAAAAAGATTCTCTCATTCCATACACTTAAATCCTCAAAAAAAAACCAAAACACCAACCATCAGGGACAGGTTAAAGCACAAGCAAGAAATTTCATGAGAGATAATGGGTATGCTTGTATACGCACACACAAACAAAAGAAAACATACAACAGAGAATTTAATTATCTTCTTTGTTTCCTGAGCGCTTATGGATTTTGTTGCTAAAACTAATTGCCTTTTGCCTACGTGTAAGTGTTGAGGCCATGTTGATGGCTTTCTTTCCAGGAAGGACAGCCCATTTACCTGGCAGTGAAGGGAGTGGTATTTGATGTCACTTCTGGAAAAGGTGAGTTTGCTTCCTCTCTGCTGTCTGCATTGTTTTCATGCTGTTTTTCAGTCACTTGTTTTTAAATATTCCCAATGTATTAGAAGCCTGCAGTTCAATCACAAGAAAAAGAATAGACTTTTTCCTTTTTTAAAAACCCTCAATATTCCTCCTCAGACACGTTCCCCCCTAAGGCTTTGACTAGAACTTACACTGGTTTGCGGTTACAGTACACATAGACAGACAAGCCAGCGTGGTCCGGTTAACTTGGATACTGAGGGCTGAATCGCTGAAGAAACCTGCCCAGACCCCTGAGTCCTCACCCAGTGTGGGGTCAGGCCACACTGAATACAGCATTTTATTGCACTGGGTGCCTGAACTGACCAGATCAAAGCTAATTTGGATGTGTCCAAATTGCACTGCACAGTATCAGCGTTGCTGCAGCTTCATCTGTTCCTTTTGTGCTGGTGTTTGCCTACCCATGCTGTCCAGTGGCAACTCTTGGAAATGTTGACTGTGATTTTGAAAGGAGGCCAGGGGGCTACGTAATTTTTTTTCTCCTTTAAAATGGTTTTATTTCATTAGTCTTCTTGTCTCATGATTTATACCTAACCATTTATTGCTATATTTACAGTTTGTGCCTTCCCTAAGAACTACAGATGTTTTAATTTGAACTCCTGCTACTTAACCCAGATTTGCTGTAAAATGTTTGAAGGGACCATGGGGGTCCCGGCCACTTGCCTTAATGTCATCATAAGCAAACTAATGGCTTGTTGCTTTGTTTGTACTAAGCTTGTTAACGCAGCTTGTCTGGACATACATGTTGGCTGATCTTCAAATCCTAAGTTAGACAAGGCTTGCCACTGGAAATTCTGGAGTCTACAAACCTCTCATGAGAATGTAAAGCACAGCTCCCTAAATAATAGGCAAATTTTAAGACTGCAGTATAGTTCAACAGTTGTATTGTATCTGGTTTGGTTTTCTTTGAGGACTGGGATGTATTATGAGAAAGTAGCAAATTAAAAGGCAGTTTGGGAAAGAAGAGTCTTAGTCTTGAGTTGTTGCTTTCAGTTCACTGAGAAGTGCAACAGGCTGATGAAAAGTAGAGGCTGAACATAACCCGTACGTGGTCAGATTGTCACTGGATTTTTATTTTTTTTTAATCTGACAGAATTTTATGGAAAAGGAGCCCCATACAATGCTTTGGTTGGAAAAGACTCAACCAGAGGAGTTGCAAAGATGTCTCTGGATCCAGCAGATCTTACACATGACACAGTAAGAAAGCAGACTATTAGTTTAATTCTGTTTCTGTTTTGCAAAGTTTTATTCTTTTGCAAGATGATGAATGATAATATTAAATTATTTGTATTAATTTAAGTTGATTCACATCCTTAAAATCAAAATGCATTAATATTCTTTAAATACATTAAATAGATACGTATTTACTGCTCATGAAAGGTGCAGTGCTGACAGCCTTAAAGAGCAAAGTTTTTAATCTGTGGAATCAATACAATATATGTAAGCATGTAAAGGGGAAATTACCCACTGTTTAAAAAGATGCTTCCAAAGAGAGTAAATCACTTTCTCTATCAATTGATTTAGTGTATCCTGTGTCACTGAAATGGCGGTGGGTGCTAACTCTGGCAGTGCGTTGTTGCTTGTTTGAGGTGTGATTTACTTCTGCAGGGAAAATGAAGGGAGATTAACAGTTTGTGTGACCTAAATATATTAAAGTTTTGTCAAGGCTGAATTTGAATGAAAAGAATAAAATTACAGGTCATACTATCAACTTTGTTAATCATGCTCTGCAAAGTAAACCCAAAAGCTGACCCTAAGGTTTATATATAGAAATCGATAAAGAAAAAAATGCATGTAAATATCTGTTTTTTTTTTTTTTTTGAGACGGGACTTTCATTTCCGTATTTCATTTAGACAGGACTCACAGAAGAGGAACTGAAGTCCCTGGATGATATCTTCAATAATGTTTATAAGGCCAAATATCCAATTGTTGGCTATACTTCTCGACGAATTCTGAATGAGGATGGCAGCCCCAATCTAGACTTTAAACCTGAAGATCAGCCACATTTCAACATTAAGGATGAATTTTGAGGAACATTTTTGTCGCTAGAGAATGCCTGGGGAGAGGCATGATAGAATATTAGATTGATTCCCTATTTTCTGGAGTTCATTAGGACGATTAGCTATCATGAGTCAATTTTCTGTTTAGAAAATATATGATGTGTGTGTACACACATAGTTTGTGCAGTGAAACAAACAGATCTGTATTAGTGTCATACACTTGGGCTGTTTGCTCTGAATTACTTCACATGGAAGTTCTTCCTGCATGGATTTCTCTGTTCACAAGTGTGTAACGTAAAATTACATTCCTTAGAAGAGACAAGGAAGCTTTTAGTAGTGGAAACACGACTGGTAAATCCCAAGTTGTTTCCCACTCCTTGGAAAAGTGTGAATGCATTATCTGGATGAGCTAACATCAATTCTCTGTGCCTCAAGTGGGTGTAGGTATCATGTGTACAAAGGGGTGTAATAGAGGCTTGTACTTTAAAAGCATTATGGGATTTCATAGTTGATAGGTTTGAGAATACTGGATACAAACCCACTCAATCTCTTAAAATGCAGTTACAGTGGAACATTTACGCAAAGCCTACCACTGTAAACTAAGAAAAATAAATCTTTTTTCCCCATGAGAACTACCATGGCACTTTAAGTAAGACTATTATTATGTTAGTTTTGAATAAATGACACTTTAATCTTTTTAAATAATTATCAGAGATGCCATCTATATTAGATTATGATGATTTCCTTCTAGCTTCCTCCACTCTTTTCTCTGACAAAAAAAGGAAATGGTATCCCACTGTTTACCACATACTCTTACAGCGTGAGTTTATTATAGTAGTTTAGTATCCTGTGGATATTGTTAGCATTTTTATATCGGCAATTTCAGTTCTCATTTTTAATTTCTGTTAGTTTTTGTTTGTTCTTACTCTGGCTTCATCATTGCTGTTGCAACGAAGCGTGCATTCATACGTTCCTCTTCCTTTTAACCTAATACAAAACTGCAGATCCTTTAGGGTGAAAGCAGACCCCCCCTTTATGGGGTTTCTCTGGCAGTCTTTCGGCAACAAAAGGACCGTAAAAGCACGTGCTATATAAATTGCTGCTAACCACTGACTTTCACTAACTTAAGTAGAATGTAAATTGTCACGTATGTGGATTTATCTGCCACTGTGACAGGTTGAATTGACATAGAAAAACAGAACAGCTACTCCCAATTCCGTATTAATAATATAGATATAATAAAAATACAAGTTATGTTTTGTTCTATTTCTTTAGCATTTTGGCCATTTTCTTTGAAGGAAAGATTTTGTTAGATTTTCTCCACTTCATGGTTTGCCAGGGACAGCTGCCTGTCAGTTGAATATCCAGAAGAGCTGTTTCTGTTTATTTGTCCTTTCTTTTGCAATGTTACAGATTTTACTCTAAACTTCTTCTGTATCTTACTGTTAGACCACTTAATTTGCAGGAGGGACTCCCTGCACCCTCCCCCCCACCCCGCCCCCCCGCTGTTGGATGGTGCTCTGGGGTGGAATAAATAATTTAGCATCTAAGAAAATACTATTGCTTCAGAGAATTATTCTTTTTTTAAATTACTGTTATTACTACTACTGCTGACCTTTTGATTAGATACCAACAGCAGCTGGGAGTTGGCACCTTGGTGATGCCTGCCTGCAGGTATGGGTGTATACCTGCCATTGTTATAGGATGCTTTTCCTATTCATGCTACGAAGGTCACCTTTGCTGATCCTGAAGTGGATAACTCACCTTCTATTTGCACTAAATTTCAGGTTCATTTCAGTGAAGAAACCCTCCCGTTGCAACAGGAAATGGTGATATAAACCCCACTCTCATCATGCAAGATCCTTGCGAACCCGACCTGCCCTCACTCGTTCCTGTGAATCGGAGATGCTCTAGTCCTTCCTTTCTGTTATTTAAGACAAGGTTGTCACAACTGAGTGCGTTTTAGAAAGCAAAACATTTCCTTTTTTCTTTCGGTTTGGGAACTGAAGGACTTGCATTTAATCACTTCCTAGGCTATTCCACTTGGGGTCCCCACTCAATGGAACGGTGTTACGATAGTGAGGCTTTAAGTGGCCATATATCCGTAACATGTTTGCGCTGACTACTTTTTAAAAATGAATTCAGAGTACCACAGTATTTCTTTCAGTGTCAATTTAGTGACACTGTATTATGTCTAAGGTTGTTACTTGCCAACAGCTTGAAGTTTGTTTTGCTTAAAAGCAAGCACTCTGCTATGGTTGATTTGTTCAGTAAGTTGCATTTCCCTGACCTCTGTGTTATTCCAGTAAGACAGGTGCCCTCACTACCTATACAGTGCACTCAAAACAAGCAAGCTCTGTAGAGTCCTATTGTAGCCCTCCTACTACTCCACACCTCCTCCGGAGAGTGAAGAATTTATTTTCAATTTACTTGCTGCTTCCAGACAACATTGCAAATGTCATTATTGTTGCTGTGCTGCTTCTAATCCGCATCTTGCTAACTTAACATGGGCATTTGAATGAGGTTTTAAAGAACTGTGGTGCCAAGAGTTACCTTACTTTAGTATTTAATAATAGTTTACTCTTCAGAATGTGAAGAATTATCAGATAGGTTCATTGCTTAGAGGATGCATAACCTGAGTTGCTGTTTCCCACCTGGCACTCTTTGCAGTAGTCCCTCACTTTGATCCGAATACACTTGATTAACTTTTGTGACAGGATAGATTCTATCGTCTGTACTTTAATAAGTATTATTACAATTGGATTATTAACAATTCCAATTAACAACTGGAGCACCAGGACTAATAATATAAGCAACAAAAATTCAATCAAGGGGTTATGAAATGCAGATGGAAGTATTATGTTTATTTTTGCAGTTGTAGAGACTGCAGTGAAGTGAAACTATCCTAAGAACATGTAAGGTGTGTTAGCAGCTGTTAGTTACCAGTTACTGCATCCTAATCTAAACACGACCACCTGCCAGAATGCAGGTACTCTGAATCCTGCAGATTGAGCGGCTGAGATTTTTCCAAGAATTTGGGATGAGACATAAACCGTAGTTACTTCTTTCCTAACTGGAATGCGTATATGGACACCATTCCTTTTGTGGCCCTTTGCCAAAATATGAGCGAGCGTTTCATTGATTTAAGCGAATCAGTTTCTGTATTAGTCTTCTTACACAGAAAAGGCCTTGTTTCACTTTGAAAACTGCAGCCTAGGCTGATGCTCTTTGTGGTCTGATGATACCGGCTGTGAATTCATAATAACGTAGGAATCAGTGTAGGATCATATTTCAGACTGCATTTGTCAGACCTGCCAGACTTTCACATTTCAGTAAAAATTAAAAGAGGATGCTTATCTGTTTAAGTACAGTACTTGGAATGAGAGAAGCCTCAACACAGTTTGTAAATCACCTCCTCTTGTTTCAAAACCACCATCGGGCTACATATTCAACAAATGAGAGTTTGGAATGGCATTTAATTGATGCAGTTTTTCTCTTGCGAGACTCCCAAGAACATGTAGAACTCACTTGATGGTGCAGGAGAGAAAACAAAAAAAATGGTTTAGCTGACTTTTACAAATGTGTTTTGTCTCTTTGCTAGATAAATATATTTATTGGAAACGTGTTCAGTGTAATCTGTATCTGCTCAAGAGAAAACAGGAGAGAGGTAAAAAGTTTCATATAGGAAGTCCAACGCTAATTTTTCAGCTGATCTGGTTAAACCTAGAGGAAAAATACTCAAAACAACTTCTGACTACTTCTGTGAGTGAAAAAGCTGCCATTCAGGAGGCTTCAGCTGCACAGCAGTTACATGCGCTCAGTAGCTCTGACTAGTATGTGCAAATTTTCAGATGAACGCTGGATATTCTCAAGGATATCTTGAAATTCCCAGAACTGATGTAAGTGATGACAGTCGTACACTTCATTATCCATCATCCATTTATGGATGTTTTTTCTGTCCATACAGGAAACAATATACAAGCTGTGCAACTTACATGACAAATCCATGCACCAAGGGTAATGTTCAGATATGGTAAAATACACGTGAACCTATAACCTGAAAGCTACTCACATGGTATACAGAATGGCTGCTTTCAAGGAAAATCAGTCCTTGTCTGTGAATGCCTTGATTAAAAAAAAACAAACAAAAAAAGCGCTTAACTTTTAGATTTGCAGTAATTACTTAACTCGGAGCCCTGTCTGTGAATGCAGATTCAGATAGTTACAATATAGAATGTATCTGGCTGCTCTGACAGAAAAATCAGTGTGATATCAAAAGGTGATTTTTTTTTTTCCACTCTATTCAATCGGAGTCTCAAAGAACTAAGTGTATGATAGGTGGGCATCACTGCTAGAAGTACTCTAGCAGCATAGGCATGATTTTGACCTTGGCATGACCAAAAAGAACTCTAACCCAGAAAACAGAATAGGTGGGAACTGAGAATGTATTATCTTAGCGTGCTATTGGGACAATTTATACTGGTAAAGTAGATTTGGCAGGGCCGTACTATGCAGGTCTGGTAACAGACAGTGCTTCCTGGTTTTGCTTCTGTCAAATACGGTCAATGATAACAACTCAAACTTGTACCCTTACCCATCTCTTGGTCTTCATGTAACACCTTCTGGTTTGGCTTCTTTTTTTTCCTGTTCAGTAGAAGGTGTGAGCCCTAATTTACTTGTTTGTAAAACTTAGCAATCTTCTTGGCTTGGGTCATCTGTTGACAAGAAACCCAAAATAACAGATAGAAACAGATTAACGTTCTGTGAAAGACAGAGCTTGTGCACCTGGATCAACTGCAGAGCCACAAGAAGCATTCTTGAATAAACAATTCCTATTACTGTTTCCCATAGGTTTATTTGTAGCTGTTGCAATCAGAAATTCTGCACTGTTGATGAATATTCAGATTACCGTGTTCTGTAGTACTTCTTGACACGGGCCTTTATCCTTCTGACATGTGACACTGTCTTTCAGAGAAGTGAAAACTTCAGAAGAATCTGGGTGCAAGCCAACTCGAAGATAAGCCATCCAAGACAAATCAAAATATGACATAATTTTCCTTCAACTTAAAGAAACTTCTGTGAAAAAGGAAAAGAAATCCATGTCCCAATGTCCATATTTTACCGTCCAGATTTTGCTAAAAGTTTTCTCATGTTGTGCAAAGGCAGCAGATAGATAGATAAAGCAGAGACTTGGATCTAAGCCTCGCATTGTGAAAATTTGAGTCTACTTCTTGGCATATCTACTTGCGCTGTGGAGATTATGACAACACAGATCATAGACTGATGACAAAGAGTCAAACACATGAACTGAATCCAAACAGGCCTAAACTTGTAGGAGTGTTTGAATGTAGAGCTGAACTTAAAGCCTTGCACACTTCTTCTGTAGACAACAGAATCTGAATGAAAAAAACCCCTTCTAGGTAGCATTTGTTTCCGCCAGTAGGGGACTGGGAATTTTCTGGCACTTGGGCAGATAGAAGTAGGATGACGACTGAAGTGAAAACTTCCCTGTGCCTAGTTCTGTCCTCCTTTGCAGAGATACTAAAATCAGTTGTGTTGGATATGCACAGCTTAGTTACCAAGCAGTTAACTGCCTGGAGGATAACTGTATAGATTAAACTGATAACTGGTTCAAAATACCTGTGGCAGACCAAGGGTAACCTCGGAGGCTACTCTTCTTGTTGGAGGCTGCGGCTACGTACCCTTTATTTTACATTGCAGTGCTGTTTTGGTAATGATCACAGATAAGGGCTAGGTTACTCAAAATTATTTATTATGTTTAACCCTTCATTAATTTTTAGGTTTGAGCAAAGCTCCTAAAAAAATAGCCTCATTACAAAGAATAAATATCACTCCACCAAAAGCAAAGTGTTCATTCTGAACTGCAGAACTGTGCAGCCATGCATCAGACCTAAGTATACTTAGGGCAAAAGTGTTAATTGAAGGGAAGACATGTTTAAATTGAGATTATATTCTTAGGTAACATGTCTGTGTCCTGCACTATGCTTGGAAATGTGTCAAGAATATCACTGATTTTTCCTTATTTATTGTTTAACCACGCTCTGTACTTTAAAATAGTTATGCAGTGCTTTTTGAGAACAGGACAGTAGGACTTTCAAGGCATTTGTGATGTATTTTCTTGTTACTGAAAGACAA